CACTCCAAAGTCAAATTAATCACAAGCTTTGTGGTTTTCTTCTGAGATCGAGTGTGAGAAAGTCCTCAACGTTCTCCAGACTTCTCTGTCCTCCCAGCTGTCCTTTTCAGACTCAGACAGTAACTCAAGGGGCTTTAGGTGACGATGGTGGAAGTGTCGGTTGGAAATTGACTTACAGAACCGGCGAAGTTCCTCCCACAGAGTGCTGCTGTGTCTTCCCGATATTCTACTATTATATCACTCTCCGTTCTCCGTCAGCATCCGTCTCTTCTTTGTCCCCCCTCTCTCTCTCTCTCTCTCTCTCTCTCTCTCTCTTCAATGAATTTAGTCTTCCACCTTGCGGCTCAAGATAGGTCAGTTAATCCACAGAGATTAGACAGTTAAGGAAAGAGAGGAGTCACATTAGCAGGAGTAAAGTGTTTATTTTGACCTGGTAACGGCTGGTGACACTAGTTTGTACCTTGTTCTGTTTCAAAATAAGAAATTCAATTGTTTTTTGTTGTTCATTTAGAAATATCTTGAGTCTGGTGGCCAAACAATTGTTCTATATTTCAGGGTATACAGTATGCCATTATTCAATACCAGTGCAACAATTGTCTTCTTAATGTATATTCATAATCTTTATTTTGAATAATAATACCAATATCATTTTAAGGGCTGACTTTATTTTTGGGCTTGCTGATATAGTCCGATCTCGGAACTACATTTTGTTTTGTCATAAATTCCTGCTGTTCATCACTTTGATGGGATGGCAAAATAAATACAGTATTCTTGTTGTGATTAGAATTTATCAAATGTTGTAATCTCTTTCTGTCTTTTGTGCACAACCATGGGAATCAGACGCAATCACCTTACAATAATGTCCCTCCTGAATTATTGTCACATAATGTTTCGAGCCGTAACAAGTGTTTCTTTACAGTGTTTCTTTTTCTCAACAGTTAGACTGAACTATCTGAGATCACATGACCAACACTTTGAGACAAAATGAAGAGAAATAACAATTGGCCTCAATGTCAAATGACACAATTCATTATAAATAAAGAATAAAGATACAGAAGTAAAACTACTGGGCACATCGTAGAAACACAAAGCACACACTTCTGAAAAAAAAAAAACATTCATCAAATAATAAAAAAGTACCTGCAAAAAACACTCTTCCATTTCTTGTGATGTGAACAGAAACACCATCTGAATGAAGAAATGCACGTCATTGTGATCCAGTAATCAGACATTTGACGTGGCTTTTGTGAGTAGATGTGAGTAACGGATACATGTACATGTCAGCAGGTCAAGCCTCTGGATCATGTGGTCAAACAGAGGCTTGAGATGGAGTACTCTTCCATTGTTCTGTGCACACGTGGGTTCGAATCCCATCCTCGTCGAGGTGCGATGCTTCTATTGAATCTAAGAGCCGCAACACCCTAAAGCAAACTAAGATCATCACAAACTACTGTAAGTATTTTCATACAGTATCTCACAGAGTGTGTTCACTGGACAAACCTGCAGCGCAGTGCTCACTAAACGTGTTTACCCTTTTTCCACACCTACTCCCACATTGTCATGTTGTGCTTGCGTGCGTGTTTCTGTAAGTCCTCCGTGTCCTCCGTCCTTCATTGTGGCCTTTGCGGGATGGTTGAAAAATGGCTCCGTCTCTGCGTTGCGGGGCTAGCGACGGCGGCCCCGCCAGCCTCTGTGCCCTCCTCTGATCACCTTTGACCCTGAATCCTAGGGCCTCTGGACCATCACCAACAACAAGATGATGAGCCAGAGGAAGAAGTTGACCCACACTGCCGTCTGAGGGGGGGGAGTCATTTTAAAGTCAATTTGATGTGTGAGAGAGAGAAAGCAAGACCCGCAGCACTGTAACTAAGTCTGAAAAATAAAACTTCTAAAACTTTCCACGAAATGTGTCTGTTTGTGTTTATAGAGGAATATTTTAGAGGAAGATCTTAAGTATCAAACATGACCTTTCTTTATTAAAGACTACTTTATTACTCTGTCGTATTTTTTAAACTAAGAAACCAATCTACTTCCTGTTTACACCGGCACCCACCCGCATGCCCAGTGTACGTGAATAGTCACGTGATATTCGTTTTCAGGCTTTTAGTCTGGACGGAGGTCATTTTGAAAACGACGCTGAAACGCTGCGTGGCTGGAGATCGTTTTAAAACGAAAACGTATTAGTGTGGATGTGGCCTAAGTGATACTTTACAGCAGCCGCTACTCTATCAGCAAGATCATTTTTTGCTAGATATGAATAAAAGGGAACGTTTGAGCTGAACATGAAAATATTGTAAAATGTTGTATTTTCTCTAGTTTCTAATCACAGTAGATTGGGTATGTTGACTGGTACTTTGTCAACATAATGCAAAGAGTTAGGAGAAGTGCGTAATGTATCCATTCAAGACATTAAATCAAACACGGAATGAGGCCCACTGACCCCGGCATCGTGTAGACCGATGTAGAATCGTCCCCCTCTAATTGGACTGACCCATTTTCTGGTCTGGGCCTCCTCACAGCTTGAGAGACAATAGATTACATGTTAGAAAGTGACAGATATTTAAGTTTGAACGCATCTTTTGTGTCCAGATAAATATGTGTTAACAGTAGCTAAATATACTAAGCATCCGCTTAGATTCCAAAGTTATACAGTTAGCCATCGGTATATGCTTTTACACGCCAAGGGAAAAGAGAGTCTGGAGTGTGTGTGTGTGTGTGCCACCTGGTGATGTTGGGAACGCTCTGTATGACCGAGTTGCAGAGCGAGTCCCGTCCGATCTTCACCATGCACCCCGTGATGAGCAGGAAGAAGAGGAAGAAGCCGCTCACAACAATAATCAGGTTCATACGCACACGCCCCCTGTGGAGAAGAGAAGGGACAGAAAGGAAAATTAAACCTCTGAACAAATGAGGAAATTAAGTCAAACTCACATATGACTGCGTTACAACAGCACACCTATGACTCATGTTCTCTTTTTGATCGTTTTTGAAATCTACTTAAATGTTGTTTCCGCCTCCTCACCAGCTCTGCAGCGTGTACTGTTAGACCTTCAGAGACACTATTCTGTCTGTAAAACCTGCAGTGACAGTCTGGGTTGAGTTTCCCTTCATGCTGCTTCACTGTCTCACGCCAGCAAGAATACAACTCTGGCCAATATCAGATTTAATAAGCAATATTACAATAAGTCAAGCTTTTGTTGTTGATAGTTTGGCATGTTGTGGTATTGCTAAAATTGGGTCTTTTTTTTGCAGCAATCTGCAAAGTGTTTTTGTGCGGCTGCACGTCTTTTGTACACGCATTTGTAATAAAAAATGTTCACACATGAATGCCTGTAGTGGATTAAATGGGTGGAGAAATACGGAATGGGATATTGGTATCAGCTTTAGCATCATATTGCGTTGCTATTTTGAGTGGCAACATTGACTAGTGCCAAATTAAAAAATTTGCATCAGCTTAGACATTCTTGCATGAAAAGCCGTGTAACATAAGCTTCCACAGGGCTAAGCAGTAGAGTTGGAGAACAAGATGATCACAGAGTTATAAAGTAAGTTTCATGACGTGCCGCTACCTTCTCATTTCCCCGCAGAAGCACAACGTGTACAGCCAGTACAGAGTCACAGGGTAACACACCACTGCTACCATGACCGATATAGTCGACACGAAGTAGCACAGAGACGGGGAGCTGGGCGACTCGATCCCAATAAGGCCCGCTGTAACATTGTAGTTGACAAGTCCATACAGCATGCACCGGCCTCCAAAGTTACCCTGAGAGACAAGAGATTTTATTTTGAAATTTCAATTTGCCTCCATTTACATGCAGGCTAATAGTCTCATTTTCATTACATTGTTTCAATAACTTCATATTCGTTACTGGTGGAATTGCAACAACAAAACAGAACACACACACACACACACACACACACACACACACACTATAAAGAAGTAGAGAGAATAATTGGGCACAATGATCATCTGGTCACATGGGGCCTTTCTCAATATGTGTTCTTGTGTGTACTTGTGTTCTGGTGGACTTGTGAAACGTCATCAGTCTCAGCCCAAAGTACTGTTCCTATTCAAAAGTCTGCATCGAGCCAAGCACGGTCCAAATGCCTGGATGTGGCTCGCTCCGCCCATTTTACCGGGGATGCATCGGAGGTGACTTGTGTGTACTTGGGACAGCCAAATATCCCAGAATGCATTTGCACCAGCAACAGGAAACAATAGCGGAGGAGAAATCATACAACTATATGTCTATATACACAATTATATGTACATATATATACACACAATTCTATGTATATATATACACACAATTATATATATACAATAATATGTATAATCATATAATTGTATATATATATATACATATAATTATATATACAATTATATGTATATATATATATTTTATTTTTATTTTAAATAAAGTGAAAAAATCAGGGTTGTCATATTTAGTTTGATTGTAAAAATACTTTACAGTAAAAAAACGGATTAAACTCATTAGCAACACCAGCTGAGGTGGTGATGTCATCAAGTATGCTGCTGTTCCAATTGCAGAATGTCTGTACTTGTGTCCTCCCGTCCTTGGGAGTCTGGACTTTAAGCCTTAAAAAATTACCTTCTGGGCGTCTGTAGCCTCATTCTCTCTGAGGGACTGTAGTGTGTTTGATGAGGGAAAACGCACTAAACGTTGTGATGTTTCGCTCGATCCTTGGCTGGGACGTGTCCTGTGCCGAAGTGTCCCTGAGCAAGACACTGAAACCCTAACGGCTCCCCGGGCGCCTGTCATGGGCAGCCCACTGCTCCCTATACATGGATGGGTCAAATGCAGAGACAAATGTCCCCCCTTACCGGGACGAATATCTTACCGGGACGAATATAGTGTAATAGAAGAAAAAAAACAAAAAACAAAAAAAACACGAGGAGGTGTGTCCGAGACTTGCAACAACACTCACCATTTACAGAGAAACGAAAGTCATGTTATTTTTAGTTATTGACCTGATTGCGCTCTGGTTTTGACAGTGACCGATACGTAATAAGTAGGAAATAACGCAAATAAATCAAAAAATGTCGTTAAGTATAGAATTAAACAGACAAATACGTGCCACGAAAGAGATTTTTCTTTTTGGTGAAGTTGAAAATTTCTAGCACCAACACGCACTGAAAAAGTGAGTTTATCCGGAAGAGGGTTGCGATAAAAGAAGCACATGGATGAGGTTAGTTGATTCATTTCTGGGTGAAGTCACCTGCACTATGGTGATGGATGCGGCGGTAATACTCCCACAGAAGAAACTGCTGGCGTACAGACCCACCTCCAGCAGCAGCAGCGGTAGCGCCATCGTCCTGCGGGTCAGGTTCCTGACTGAGTAGAGACCCGCATAAAGGCAGCCACGGTAAGAGAAAATACTTCCGGAGAGCTGGGTTTCAAAATAAGATCCGAGGTTAAGCGCACAGCCGCAACGGTCACTGGCTCGAGGTAAAGGGAAGAATAACCAGCATTTATTGAAGAATGAGTTGTAGAAACAGCCGGGGCGGACCAGCGTCAAGTACGACTGGACAAATCAACTGAAATCTGCATTAATGTTTTATATTAAGATGAAAAGCAAACAGAATGATGTGATTTCCAAAAAAGGAAAATCAAAAACTCCAGAAAACTCCTACCGACTTAAACCGTGGCATATGTTGCAAAACTGAAAAAAAAAATGTTGAGATAATTTTTAAAGAACGGTCAAAATCGATAAAGTGCTTTTTTCCTTCCATTGCGCCGACAAAAGCAAAAAGTACTACATTCTGGGAACTATTTAAATCGACCCCAAATCTCTCCCTTGACCCTCTCTTCTCGTTTCTTTCTCTCCCCTCATCCAGCGGTTTCAATGGGAGCCTGCATACCAGTTCATGACGTCACCACCAGTCCACTTTCGTCCTCGTGTCCTCACAGGTGCCTGCTGAGTTTGCGCGCCTGCCTCTCCCTGGCTTCGAAGGCGGATTTGGTGTCCATCAGGTCGTCCAGCTGCCGGCGGATGTGGGCCATGTCGAGCTGTGCGGACTCGCACTGCTCCCTCAGGGTGGCCGACTCCACCCTCAGCTGCGTGGCGGCCATGGAGAGCTGCTCGCTGCGTTCGCGGCACTGCATCTGCATCCTCTTGGCGTCGTTCAGGAGGGACTCCACGCTCACCGCCACGGATTCACACTGATTGAGAGACATCTTCTGGACAGAGGTAGAGGGATGGAGGTCAGAGGTCAAAACAGGAACTGGACATCAAACGAGGATTAGTCCATGGACTTTTGAGCAGTCAGATGCTTGAAAACAGACTTAAATACATGTTTGTATTACTTGGCTGTGAACTACAGTCAGAAGTCCAGCACAGATCACCAGGTTTTAAACAGAACATTTG